CTGCTGGTGGGAACTGAGCGATGCTCCATCCTGCATGCGCTCGGGCACAGCCCACTGCTTTGCTGGCGGTGTCCCACATCCCATCGTGGGGTCACTGAGCGGCTGGGAGCAGGTGGGGATTGCCAGGAGCTGCTCTGCCAGAGGCTTTTAAACGGAGGCCATCAAATTGTTTTTCAGCTGGAGCAGGAAATGAGAAGAGCAGGGGCGGGATGTGTTTGTGTCGGCTCGCTGGGCCAGCCTCAGCCACGCGGTGCCGGTTGTGTGTGAGCCCGGGGAGCCCAGGCTGTGCTGGTGGCACAGATGATCTGTGACCAACCATGGGATGTGCACTGAGCCAGGCCAGGGGCTGCATTTTCATGCTCAGCATCAGGGGTGGTGGTACCGTACCCACGCTGCAAAGGTCTGCCTTGGAGCTGAGCAGCAAAGCAGAGCCCTGGGGCTGCAGGAGCAAGGCGCCGAGCCCAGGCTTATCAGCCAAGCTCACACCAAGCCCTCCTGGCAAGAGCACGGCGTGGTTGCACCACTTCGGAAAGCATGAGACCGAGCTTCTCCGTGACGCTGGGCTCTGGAGCTGCTGGGGCAGCGTCTCTGCCCTGCGCCCCATTTCCGTGCTGCAGGGGATGCCTTAGCACGGCCGGGTTTGCTGCGCAGCTGCTGCTCGTAGGCACTCGCTAACCTCACATGGGTGTTTGGCAGATGCTTCGTGGACTCCTTATTGGGCCCTTTTTTCTGCAGCCCAAGCTGCTCGGTTGTGGTACAGCATCACATCAACCAGCTGCGTGAGCCCAGCAAGCTTCGGGAAGAGCAGTGCACGCGCCAGAGCAGAAATGCCTGGGATATCTCTGCAGCATGTAAAGAAATCCGCCGCCAACTAAGGAAGGTCAGACACAGAAATCCTTATCTCCCTTCCCACAAATAAGGATCATGAGTAAAGCACTCAAACAGCATGAGCATCATGAGATGGAGTTAAAAAATCATGAGCCGGCATTGTTGTCTATAAATAAATAACACGTTCTGGGGTTTCGTTCTCAGCCTTGTGGTTTTGTGCCTTTAGAATTTTGTATTTTCATTTTTATTTTTTTTTCTCTGCATTGAGAAAGACTAGAAACATATTGTTCTTTTTTTTTTTTTTTTTTCTTCTTCTTCTTCTTTTTGAATGCAGTTGACAATCTTCCACAATCATTGGATTCCAGGAACTGAAACTCTAACCCCCCCATCCCGCTTTCTCTTCCCCCCCCCAGAAGTATCTCGAGCTTAGTGATAAAATCCAGGCTTTAGCCAACTTTGGGTGGGGTATCTGCGAGGAAGGTGTTGCTGACATTTCATGAGGCCACATGTTAATTGCTTTCTATCTCTCTCTCAAAGTTCCTTCTGGTCCCAGTGGGTTTCAATATAGTAGTAAACATCGGAGCAGCCTTATTTTATAGGACTTGGTGTGCTGTTTCGCTGCAGAGGTGGCCGCGTTTCCAGGCATGGAGGGGCTGCTCTCTGCCAAGAGCGGATGTGCTTGCAGTGGTGAAACGCTCCTTGGAACCCCTCTGGGCAAAACCCATCTCACTCGCTCTCTGACGGCAGGGCTCACGTGGGACCTTACCGAGGGCACAGCTGAAAGGAGGGCCAGCTGTGAGGCAGCAGCAGGTCGCCCCCAGCTCCTTTGGAAAACAGAGGGAACGTGAGAAAGCGTCACGGGGCATGGTTATGGCTACACAAAACACCCCCAGGTTGTGGAGGAGCTCTGCCAGGATGCTCCCGTATGGCATCCCAGGTTGTCTGGCAGTGACTTCGTGCAGTGAGTGTGGGTCTGGGACCTTTCGGTTCCTGGCGCTGACTGCACCTCCAAAATCCTCTGCCATGGGCAAAACCCTCAGAGCCGCTCTCCAGCCCCGTTTTGTGGTACAAATTCTCTAAGGGGCAGTGTTGGCATAATCAGGTGCAGGTCATTGCTGTCAGAGCTGTTGCCCGTTTTGTCCTCAGGTGCTGTAAGGGGATGTAAGCGTGGCAGGAGGACGCCCACGTAGCCCAGCACGTGCAGAGCTGGGCTCCAGCCAGCCAGGGGCTCTGCGTGCCTCCCTCCCTCCTTTATGCTCACTCATTTCCCTGTGTTTGCCATGCAGACTGTCCCTGTCTCTGCCGGTGGTCCCTGTCCTCCCACCAGCTGCCCACCCTCTTGGTGCCCCTTGGGTCCCAGGCTGGTCCCAGCCCTGCCAGAGGTTCCTCTCGGATGCGCTGAGCAGGAGCCGCCTGTTAATGCGGGGTTTACGCTGAGCCACAGATCTTTGCACTCTCTTCTTTTAATTGTCTGTTTCCGGGAATAAAGGGGGAAAAAAAATAACCCCCAGCACTCTGCGCGGTGCCATTAACTGGCTGTAAAAGTGTTTTGCTGCAGAGAGGCTGGGTGGTCAAGCGGTTTGAGAAGAAGATTGGGACCCGTCCTCTCCTGCGTTTGCAAACTGCCCGCGTCACTGAGGCTCTCCTGGGCAAGATGCTTCACCCCATATGTCTCTGTTTACCATCGATAAAACGGAGTTATTAATACTGCTGTGCTTCAGGGTGATCCTTTAGACCATAATTAATGCTAAAACCCTCTGAGATCACTCGTTGGAAGGAGCTGGAGAGGGGCAGAGGGCTGCATAGTGCTGGGGCTGCCAGCTTCCACCAAAGCTGAATTTATTGGTGCTGGTTCCAAAACATCCCTCATTCAGTGACTGGAAAAGAAAACCTTTCCTCCAGGGTCTCTGAAGGAGGACTGGTTTCAGGTGAGGCAAAGCACTCTTTATGACCAGATCAACCCCACTTTATTTCTGCTGTTTTTCCATTTAGGCTCTAGTTTTATTTTATTTTTTTTTAATCTCATCTGAGAACATGATGATACGGAGGGCTTGTTTGTTGATCTGTTTTTTAACCCAGCCCTGACCGTTCCAGATGCTCTTGCTCTTGGCATTTGAGTGACTTTGTTTCTGTTCCTGTTGGCGGAGGGCAAAAGCACAGCCAGAGGGCTGCCGCGGGTCCTCACCATCACCCGGAGGGCAGGCTGCGCTTTAGCACCCTGCCAAGCAGAGATGCCCCCTCCTGACCCCGCTGGCGGTGGAATGGGTGATGTGGGCACTAATTGCCGACTATTACAATTGTTTTGATAAAAGTCTGCTGTTTTCGAGGGAAGGGCTCTGGCACCGATTACCTCCGAGCTAATGGAGCCTCACAGCCCGAGCTGCTGCGGGCAGAGCAGAGGTTGCACATTAGCTGCGCGCTCCCATTTACAAAAGGGGATGCAACAAACACAGCTGAGTGAACGACCCCAGGATGGGGACGGAGATCAGGGAGATCAGCTCGCAGCAGAAACCCTCTCGTTGAGCCCCTTACTGCTCGCCAGGCTCATGCTGGTGAGCAAGAAAAGCAATGCCCACCGATGGTGCCTGGATGGGCTGCAGGGCTGGGGTCCTCACTCAGCACTGGGTGCCCCTATTGCTGCTGCTCTCCGGACCCACAGAGGGGAGATTTCATGCTGCAGAACCGCAGAAACATCCCCTGCTGCCAGCGGGAGCCTCCTTCCTCACCTTGAACCCCTCCTCTGCTGGAGGACGAGGAGGGAAGGCGGCTCCTGCGGGCTGGGCTACAAAGCCCCGCAGTCACACTGCTGCCCTGAATTCCCATTCCCCTATTGCTCTGCTGCTGTCCCTTAATTATAGCGGGAGAACAGCCTGTGTGTGGTACTTGTGAAGTCGCGCAGTGCGGACATCCTTCCTGAGATGCTCCCACTCTGAGCTCCGTTCCTTGTAAATTATGGAAAATGATGTCATGCCAGAGCATTAAATAGCAGCTCCTTGGGCGAGCTCAGCGTGTGCGTCTCCTGCCCGCCCCGGCTTTGTGAAAACGGGAGTTGTCCCTACACACAAGTGGGTTCCTTGGCAGTCTGCTGGCGTCCTTTCAGTCAGCGGGTATTGTTAAGGAGCTGATGCTAATTGCTCTGAGAGAGCGTGTCCTGCGCTGGGAATCGCTGCCGCACAAATGTCAGCCCTTATCAGCTGCCTGTGGGGCACGCAGGGTGGCTGCCGGGGGGGCTAAGGAAAGGGGAAGCATTGCTCCTGTCCCCGCTAAGGGTGCTGAGGAGTTAGGACCATTCCTTAAATAAACATGCCTCGGGGGTCTCAATCCCATTTAAGCTTCAGCTGCTTTTATGGCGCTCTGCACAGTTTTCCCTTGGGATAAGAGCGGGGCCGTGTTCTTTCCTGGGACCTGGGTACCCCCCTACCCGGCCTCTCTGCGGGGTTCTCGCCCGCCCCTGCACTTTGTCAAAGCCAGCTTGAGTTCCCCCGCCTGGCTTGGAGTGAATAGACACAAACCGATGCCTTTTGGGAGAGTGGACAGAAGATTACTGCTCCTGCTGCGAAGAAGCATTCTCGTGTTGGAGCCTTGATATTCTGACCAGGGCTCTGAGCTCAGCATCCCGGGACGTCCCATGCAGCCACAGCCTGTTTATTCAATGCTCCATCCAGCACAAAAGCCGTATTTTACTGTCAGATGCTCTCCATTAGCTTCAAGTGTGAAATTATCATTCCCACCCTTTTACCAGCCCCACCCTGGTGAGGAAATGAGGGAGAAAACAACCTCAAGGGCCGTTCGCAGGATGTGTGCGAGCTGTCGCTTGTCAGCACGAGCCTACTTAGGGCAGGAATTACTGCCCTGCTGCGAGGAGGTACGAGCCCCACGGCACTGCCGGGTGCTCCTGGGTGCATGGCTCAGCACCCCGGAGGGGGTTTGCATCCTTCCCCGGGCATGTGGCAGCAGCGTGCAGCTCAGACCTGTCCCCACAGCCCTGGCTTCTCCCTCTGGGTGCTCTCCAGTTCTGAGCCCGCGACCTTCTCACATCTCCTTGAGATGCCAGGAGTGACTGATGGGAGCCTGGACCGCATTCTTCCCTTCTCTCCCCAGGGCAGTTCCCATAACAACCCGGTGGTGTTGGGCTGAGGGATAAAGATGTATTTTTCCTTCCTGCCTTCCAGATTCACCCTCTACTGCGGTGGACACGCGAGGGAGACACTCGGAGCTGAGCACGGTCACCCTGAGGACAGCCTGCCCACTGGTGGATGACAGCAAGGCAGAAGGTCAGCGCTCAGGCACCTCATTTTCAAAGACAAAAGACATTTCCTGTTAATTTTGCTTTTCCTGTATCCATTGTGCTCCTGCAACCCCCTGCAGTCCCCTCTCTTGCAGCGCACGAGCTCCACAAATGAGGCTGGGCATCGGGTTGGGAGAGGATGACAAATTGCAAACGTCTTGTAGCAAAGTCCCGGTTGGAGCTGGTGGCTCCGTGGTCCTGTGCAGCACAGTGCCACTGTGTCTGTCCCCTCACACGGCCATGGGAGCCACTAACACACGTCCCCTGGAAAGGGCAATCACATCCTGCAAAAGCACAGGGGACAGCCCTGGCTGGGATGGGGGCACGGCCACCTCTGGGTGCTCCAAGGCTGTCAGTGGTGGCTGCTTTGGTTGTGAACTGGAAACACCAACCACTTGCATAGTTGCATTTCCTAATTTTGAAACGAATTCTGTTTGTTCTCCCCTCTGACTCCCTGAGGGTTTTGCTGCTTTGAAAGTTTAAAAGATTCATCTACATGAAAGGCACGTTACCTGTTTCCTTTCTTGCTTTCTATTTTGTAAAGCACACAAAAGGAAGTTTTGATTAATACTTTGCTGAGTGTTATTGATGAGCATTTCCAGAAAAATGAGCAAATGAGCAGACTAAAGAAAAGGAATGAAATGGGTTTCTGTGCATTTTCCATTTCTAAAAAGAGATCCTTTTCTCCAGCAGAAAGTGCACCCTCTTGTTTAATAAATCGAGCTGCTCTGGGAGGTACCCACAACGATGATGCACGGCACTTGTGGCTGAAGCACCATCTCGTTAGCAGCAGTTGTGTTCTTCCTACCCTACACATCACAGTTGTGCATTTGCTCTCATTTGGGTGAACAGGGGAAGACCTTGTCTGCCCTAACGGGGATAAGGCTGCCTCTGCCTGTGCCGGCAGCCCTCATCCTCTCCTTCTCCCATTCCCCCATGGAGTTTTGCTGGAGTTTTTGGGGCTGCCCCATGTGTGTGGGGGCACTCACCACAGTACCTGAGGTATTGCGAGATGCTCTCCAGGTTGCCAAATGGGGCTGCAGGCAGCCCCCAGGGGACTTGCAGCTGTCCCAGGCACCATCTCCTCCTGCCAAGAGCCCTGCTCGTCCCTCTCCTCTCCATGTTCATTACATCCTGTCCCCTTGGTTCCTTCCAGAGATAGCTGACAAGATCTACAACCTCTACAACGGCTACACCAGCGGGAAGGAGCAGCAGACAGCCTACAACACGCTGATGGAGGTCTCTGCTTCCATGCTCTTCCGAGTCCAGCACCACTACAACTCCCACTACGAGAAGTTCGGGGACTTCGTCTGGCGCAGCGAGGACGAGCTGGGGCCCAGGTACTGGCCTTGGCCCACGTCCTCCCCAGCCCCGCTGCCTGCCCTGCCCCTCCTGGCCTTCCCCTGTGGCTGAGGGATGTCCCCTGCTGGTGTTCACCCAAGAGGGGTGCCAGGTCCCACCTGGTCTTTGGATGAATGCTTCTGGGGCACCGAGCAGCTGAGCAGGAATCCAGCCTGAGCTGGGCGCTGCTGCTGGGAGGGAGCTGAGTGTGCTGGGAGTGCTGTGGGGGGACTGGGAGAATAAATCAGGCCTAGGACAGAGTGAGGGAGCTGTGTGTAAGCCTGGACTCGGATCTTCAAGACAATGGTAGGTGAGACCATGGCTCCCCTCAGATTCAGAGGTGCGCAGGTTAATTGCAGGGCACGTGGCTGGAAAGGGTGATGGAAGGGAATGAAGCCAAAATGCAGTGGGTACTGGTGTGCTAAGGGTGCTGCATGCAGGCAGGAGGCAGCCAGAGCTGCTGTCGGGAGGTATCTGAGGAAACACAGGGCAAATCCATCCTTATGTTGTAGTGTTTGTGCACAGCAGCAGAGCCCCTCCTGGGTGTTCTTTGGTGGAGCCCGTCTGTGTCAGGGAGCACGGTGTGACCTCTAGGTCTGTCCCCAGAGTGGGACGGATTCTGTCACCCAGGACAGACCCATTCTGTCATCCCCTTTTGTACTGGCTCCCTCCACACCTGGACAATGTTCCCCATGGCCAGTAGGGGCATGGCTTTGAGCATCTTCCACCTCCTCCCGTGTGTGGGGAAACGTCAGCCTCCAGCTGCAGGGGGTGTGCATCTGTGAAAAGGGCTCTGAGCCCCTGGAAGGAGAGCCGTGGTGCTGGCAAATAGGTTATTGCTTTTGTCTGTAGATTTGGTGTTTGGTATCATCAGAGGGGGGCAACGATGGAGCAATCTGTATGTGGTAACTTGGCTCTACTAAATAGTATGCTCTCATGGGCATTTCCTTCTACTTATTTCTCTATCTGACCTGACATATCTTTATCCTCCCAGTGGAATAGAGTTGCTGTACAAACTAAATATTTCCAAGATCCCCTTTTCCACTGCCCCTCTCTCCCCAAACATGAATTCAGCTCATTGATGTCGGCAGTAGAAAGGTCCTCCTAAATTTCCGTCCTGTGGTGCCACTGACACCACACAAGGCTGCGAGCACACAGCGCCTCGTGTTACCTACGTACAGCCTTATGTTAGACACAGCCCCTTGGGAAGCGGCCAGCAAGAAATGTTTGGAAGTAGCCACATCTCTCTGGACAACCTGAGATCTCCAATGGGATTCGGACAGCCATGACCTGCCTGGAAGCATTTATGGACACCGTTCTTCCAGCACCCTCACCCACCACGCTGCTCTCTGACAAATGGGTGCAGAGAAAGGCAGAGGAGTGGGGTCTGGCAGTCCCTGAATAACTGAAAAAGATTTTCTTTCTCTGCCCTCCACTCCAGTTTGTCGGACACGAGTGAGGATCTGTCCATAGCACCAGGATGACAGCACTCTACAGCAGTTTCCCTCCATCCAGGACATAAATCTAAGCTGGCCTGGGGCTTGCCCTCTGACAGAGATGACCTTGGTCGTAATTTCTTCGGTAGCTCATTAGCGCCTGACATGGAGCCACTCTTCCTTCCCTCTGCCTTCCTCCTTCTTTGATGACACTGCAGACGTGTTCGTCCCTTCCAGCTGTTCTGTACCCCCCTGGGGACCATCAGCCTGTCCTTACATAGCCCTGTCACTTGAGATCCCGCACGCTTGCTGCAGGATATCGGCTACCCCAATACCTGCGTGGAGCCTGTGAGGTTTGCAAGGTGACATTTAAACCAACCGAGTATTGCTCCACGCTGTACCGGGCTACATCTGGAGCCAGCGGTCAGTCCGGCTGCTGTCTGTCCTCAACACCAAGCCAGGCAACCTCCGAGCAGAGCCCGCGTGCCCCTGTCCTGTACCTGAGGACTCAACGTGTGCCTTGCAGCCAAGGGGAAGCGTCCACAAACGGTGCCAGGCTCTCTCCAAGAGCACCAGCAGAGTCCAGCCCAGCTTCTCAGGGAGCTTGGACAGAAACGGAGGCACTGACGTAGCGGGAGGCGAGTGAGGATTTGCCAAGGGAGGCCATCTCGTAACACGATTTTAATTGACGGGCTGTTCTCCTTCCCAGGGGGACATTCATTTTCGTACCTTGAAATGTTTATCAGATGAGCCTCGGATTCACAGTAAATGTGCGCTCATAAAACTGAGCGACAAGAGGGAAGTTGATTGCCTCCGTGTAATAAATACATCACACTGGAGTCCTCGTGAGCCCAGTTTCCATGAAAGCCACAGGTTACTGCAAACAGCTGCTTGCTAGAAGACACACTGACAGCCAGATGTCCCAACCAGACGGTTTACATTAAGGAGACATTAAAAACTTAGCTCATAGGTGGCCCTAAACCAGGACTTTCTGTGGTCAGCAGCATCTTGGCACCTGGCTTGCTTCATCCTGCTCGTCTCCTTGAGCAACAACAACCCCTTTCCTGCTCCCCCCATTCCTCATGCAGACACCGAGTGAATCTCGCAGAGTTAATTTGTTCCAACAAACCAGAGGAATCTGTCTAAACCAGTGAAGGTTTAATGCTACTGTGCATTCAGCCCTCTGGATCTGTGCAGCGGGAGCGCTTCCTGACGCAGCGACAGGGCGATTTCTCTATTATTTTCTCATATTGTGCTTTGGGACGGTTCTCGTGACCTCTGCAAGCACAGCCTGGCTTTTAGGAGGAGGCAGGAGAAAGAATTAGGCTAAAATCCTCCCTCCGTGCCCCTGCTTGTGGCTACCAGGGGGTCGGGATGTGGCACCGGGGCTCGCAGGCTCGCCTTGCCCTCAGCAAGTCCCCCAGGCAGGCAGCCGGGACGGCCGCGGGAGGCGAAGTGCATCTCCAGAGCAGCTGTCTTCTGGTACCGAGGGGAATGCAATGTACCGATGGGAGGCTGTGATAAGAGGCCATCGAGTCCCGGACTCATTATCCTCCTAGATGAGGGTCTGACAGACCCGGGTCAGTTCTCAGTAGAGTGGAAAAATCGGAATTTATGACAAAATCGCCCCGTGTGGGAACACAGCGCACAGGCAGCCACCCTCTCCCACAGTGTCCCGGGAGGCTCGTCCTCCCCTCCAGCCCAGGTGTCGTTGCCCCTCTGCTTCCTCACGTCCCTTCTCCTTCTGCACCTTCCTCCTGGGCGAGCTAGGGCAGGGTTTTGCTGGCTCTGGCTGCGTTCTCATCACACGCCAGCCATCGAGGTGAGCAATCGCTGTCCCCTGTGCCACTGGGGGCAGGGGACGGGGACGTCCCTCCCCTGCAGGAGCACCCCAGGGCTGAGCACGTCCTTCCCGAGCCAGGGCTGGCAACCAGGCACCCGGTGCCCAGTCCCACCTGCAGGCACTGCCAGGCCCCTGGTTCATGCAGGAGGAAAGTGGGAAGTGCCCCGCAGCAGGCACCCGTCCCCCTCCCCACCCCTCGCCTCGCACCGGAGAGGGAAGCAGCCGCGTGGAGCCGTCACCGTTCTTAATCCCCCTCTCCATCATTTATGACTTCGGCTGTGACCTCCTAAATCCGTCACTTAAGCAGGGAGCAGAATCGGTCCCCGGCTGGCGCCGACTTAAAACAACTGCCCCTGCAGCGGGGCAGGAGGGAGGGCACCCCCAGGGGGCACCCCAAATTGGGGCCGGGGTGTGGGGTGACACAAGGGGGCTGCTCCGTCCCTTGGAGGGCCGAGAGCTCGGGGGCTGGCCATGGGAATGACCCCCCCACCCCACTCCCCTGCTGTCCTCTCCTGATTCCTGCCCTTTAATAAGGCAATAAATTATAGTTCCTGGCAGGGATGAGGTTGGTCAGCATTTAGGAAGATTTCATTTCCAGTATTTGAAAAGGTGGTCGTTCTGACCCGACAGCCCTCCGCAGGGAGCACTTGGGTAATACCCAGGGCTTGATTTATGGTGTTAAATTGGCAGCCCAAGAGCTGCTCCTGTAATTTATTACCCAGCCTTCACCAGAAAGCTTCTCTCTCTTTCTCACCCCTCCCCTCACCCGCTCTGTCTCTCTTTCTCCTTATTTTTTTTAAGAGGGAACAGCTGACAGCCAAAAGCTAAATCTAACATTTACACATGACTTCATTACCCCGCTAAAATAAATGACTCAGTCTCAAGGCAGTGAAACCCATCAAATCTGGGGCTTTGGGACCGGAAACCAAAAGCGAGGGGCCTGATCCCCACCACCCCCCTTCTCCTGGACCACGGTGCTGAGTGCGCTCAGCATCCTTCCAGGGGCAGCTCGTCGTGTGCTGCATCCCACCCGTCCCTTCCTGGGGTTGTGGATGCAGCAGGTGTGTGCAGACCACCCCCAGCAATGAGATATCGACAGCTCTGGGTGGTTTGGCCCCTGGGCTTCTTGCTGCTCCTCATTTTTGCCAGGACAAGAGAGCAGAGAGTGGATCAGGAGGAGAACACGGTCAGGCAGCGAAATCCATGGTGCGGTGGGGCAAGCAGGGAAAATGGGAAGGGAAGAGTGAGGAGGGAAGTGAGAGATGGGGTAAGAGACCTGGGGAGGGGAGGAAGCAGGCAAAGTTGTGGGAAGGGAGGAGAGGAAGAGAAGAGCTTGGCCAGCAGGTGTGTGTGTGCTGGGGTGCCCACGCCACACCCAGATTTGGGGCCAAGGCATGGTTACCACCACTGGGATAGGGCTGGTCAGTGGGCACTCGTTGCTGCTTGTGGTGAGCTGGACCAGGAACCAGTTAGGGGAAAACCCCATGGCATTAGTTAATTGGCCTTCAGACAGGCAACTTCCCCGTGTCAGCATGGGTCATCCCCATGGGCACCTGCACAGCTCAGACAAACGGGCAAAACGAGCAGGGGAAGGGGCAGTGCCCCCTTTGGGCAGTAGAGATGACCCAGAAATGGGGTGACCATGGAGCTATGGCCCTGAGAGCTGATTGATAATTACCCCTAGAGCAGGAGGGAGGGCTGGCTAGATGCTCTCCTCCCGAGCACTGTCAGCTCACAGAAATGTCCATCCGATGGATGCCCGTGGGCTCTGTGTTTGGGGAACCTCCCCTGAAAGAAAGGGAGAATCAGAGCTGACGTTAAATGGGTCCTCAGCATTAGGATGGGTACGTGCTGGAGTGATTGCCTGGGGAAACAAACTCTGCTCCACCTTCAGCTTACAAACAGGTTACTCAAATACAAATCAGGGCCTGCGAGGAAATGGCACGGGTGATCCCTTTTGGCCCCTTCCACCCCCGTGGCTGCGGTTTGATGAGGTTTGCTGGCCTCACCAGCGGTGCCGCTCACAGCAGCCTGGATCACTGCTAGGCGGGGCTTTAATCGGTGTCTCTGCTGAAAGCACCCAGCTCCATCCTGGAATTTGGTGAATTCCCAGTGGTGGGCGTGCAGCAGCAAAGGACCCATCGTGGGCAGTGTGTGAGGTGCTGGCGTGCAGCAGGAGCACCGGGTGATGCAGTTCAGGTGGCCGCGGGAGAAGCGGGGTCGTTCTCCACGTGCAGTGCTGGAGGAGCTGTGGTTTCCTACAGCCTTTTGTCCAGCTTCCCTGCCCTGCTGGGAGAGATCTGCAGCCGGTGGGTGACACCGCTGTGCCCTCTCGCCCTGTCTGCCTTCGCTGCCCCCACGGCACGTGGGTGGCGGGTGCCCACCCCTTCCCCGCATCCCACAGACGATGCTCCCGGTGCCGCCTCCTCGCCGGGAGCTCGCAGCCCGGGCTGCAACAGCACACAGCTTTCATAATCAAATAATCCCCGTGTTTATGCCTCGCTGACTGACAGCGCTGCCCCCGACATATCATTATCGGGAATTTACATTCCTTCAGGAACTGCGAAATCCCCTAACCCCAAATCCAGAGCTTTCCTGTGGCACCAGAGGGAGAGGAAATAATCTGTGATCTTGAGACTTTCAGACCACTGAAGTAAACCCTCTTCCCCTCCCTTTGTTTGATTTAGCACTTTGCAGACTCCCACGAGGGGATTCTTGGTTTCTTACGGGTTTATTTTGTTTTGTCTTAATGTGTTGTGCTTTTTCTCCTCGCTCTTCTAGTGTCAGGCCTTCTGGGCTGTTTGCCTCCTGGAGACTTGGGAAAAGGGAGCAGGGAGGGCCGTGCTGACGGGCTGGCAGCAGCGAGGTGCCGCGGGTCTCCCCGGTGTGCTGGCTTGCACGGGGGCTGGCACGTGTGCCAGGGCTGCCAGGAGCACGCGGTGGCAGCGGTGACAACCTGGCAGTGGCAGGCGGTGTCCCCAGGGCATGTGAGCTGCTCGGCTGGCTCAGCCCTGAGGTCCCCCCAACCCCATGCCCTGTGTAGTTGCAGCTCTGCTGAGAACTTTTGGGGAAAAGAGAACTTCCCTCCACCTAAAACAGGCACGACGATGCTCTGGTGATGGGGCTCATCCGTTCGTGTCGTGTGGGGCTCATCCATTTGTGTCACGAGGCAGAGCCAGGGGTGGAAGCCAGGGATGCTGGCTCCCTCTGCACAACGCAGCCTCCGGTTCTCCCTTGCAGGAAGGCGCACCTGATCCTGAGGAGGCTGGAGAAGGTGAGCGGTCACTGCTCAACCCTGCTGCGCAGCGCCTACATCCAGAGCCGCACCGAGACCATGCCCTACCTGTTCTGCCGCAGCGAGGAGGTGCGGCCGCCCGGCGTGGTGTGGTACAGCATCCTGAAGGACACCAAAGTGACGTGCGAGGAGAAGATGGTCTCCATGCTGCGCAACACCTACGGGGAGTCCAAGGGGCGGTGAAGGAAGGTGTGGGCCTGAGCTGTGGGAGGCAGAGGGGTGCTGAGGAGTTGAGGACTTGTGATGGCTTGAGCGGCTTGGGGATGGGTGGTGGTCGGAGGGGTGGAAGGGGACAGCGAGGCCAAACAGGACTTTCTCACACCAACTGCAGAGAAACACGAAATCAGCAAGTTGGACTTTAATTTCCTTTCTTTTTTTTTTTTTTTTTTTTTTTAATTTTCAAGAGGAAAAGAAAAAAAAATGAAAAAAAAAAAAAAAAGAAGCACCTGATTTGTCTCAGCATAAAAGTCTCTCCTTTTTAATCTTTTCTTACTGAATTTCCTGGACTACATGCTCCAAAACCCTGGGAGGAGGAGGTGTACCCGCTAGAGTTAGAGCGAGAGGCTGCAGAGGAGAGCTGCTGGGTGGGGGGAGAGCCCTGCCTGCCCTCTGTGCCCTGCCTGCCCTGTGTGCCCGGCGTGCCCTGTGTGCCCTGCCAGGCAGGAGCCGTGGCACAAGGGACCTTGGTGTCACCACAGCCAGGGCCACCAGGAGCACCCTGGCTGCAGGAGGCTGCGAGCACCATGCCCGGAGGCGGGTGCCAGGCAGGTGCGAGGACGCTGCAGGCACGCTGGGTGTGTTTTACCACCCCGAGGTGGCAGAAGGGCTCCGTGCCTTTGTTCGCAAGGCTCCTGGCAGCTTGTTCTGTGCATTAAAGGTTCATATTAAGTCCATCTTCACTGCCTCCTTGGTGTTTCTTCCCGATGTTGTCTCGCCGCTGCCTGGGCGTTCGGTGGGTGTCACCTGGGTGGGGACATCCCCGGTGGGTGTCTCCGAGCCGTGGCTGGAGACCAGCGCTGACCCCGAGAGCAGACACGGGGAGAGGAGGGGAAAGTGCAGCCTCTTTGTGTAGGGTCCTCGCCCTGCCCAACACCCATCCCAGCCACCGGCCCCGCTGGGAGCTGCAGACGTGTGGGAAAGCCCAAGAAGGAAGCCAGGGGCTAAAAAGACATGGAGAATCTGGTTTCTTTTACTGTCAGATGTGGGTTAGGCTGGCCCGGGATCTGTGTGGGTAATGGATTTCTCAGTCTGGTAGCCAAACCAAAAAGTGCGGGAGGGTGAGAGGAAAAAAAACAAAAATCAGAGCTGCCCGGAGCTATTGCTTTTTCTTTTTAAAGCAAAACAACAAACCTGGAGGGGGGCTGGAGGGGGAAAGGGGAACATTGAGGGCTGAATGAATTGGTTTAGTCAATGCAAAGCAAATAGTTTTGTTTATTTTTTTTTCAGGTTATTTAACCCTTTAAAGTAAAAATAAACAAGCAAGCGGTGACTTTCAAAATGAAAATGTTTTGAAACCAAACAAAGGTGCAGGATTTGATGTGGAGGAAATTCAGCCAGAGGCTTTTTTCTTCTTGAGCTGAATGTATATGCCTGATTTGGACGCACAAATAATTCTGATGGTGCCTCCTCAATTGCTCTTGTTTTTTTTTGTTTCTTTCTTTGTTTCTTTCTTTTCCCCCCACTTTTTTCCTTTGGTTCTGTCTCTTCCCTTGGCTTGAACCATGTTAATGTTGCAGGTTGGGAAGACCTCCAGTACCTGCTCAGAGTCCTGCTGGAGCTCACAGGAAATGTTGCCTTGACATAGCAGCCTTTGGAGCAAGAGCCAATGCATTGCAGGTTGCCTGAGAGCTCTTTTTTTTAAAGCTAAATCCCTTTTCCTGATGGAGAGGGAGAGGCCAGTGCCACTCGGGGGGCTCTGGGCTGTGAGCACTGCGTCACTGCGGGTCTCCGCCCCAGCACGAGGACCATGGGGGCACTGCGGGTGTTAATGCCTCTCCCAGCAGTGCTTCCCCAGCGCTGCTCTGCTCCTTTCCCATCCCTTTAACCTTCACAGGCAGCTGGCATCCACAGCCTTTGGGCATGTGTATGTGGAGGGGATGAAGGGGATGGCCTCAGCTTGCTGCAGACCAAGGCACGCTTTGCCTGCTCTTGTCCAGCTCAGCACCATCCTGCCCTGAAATACCTCCGTGAGCTGAGGTGCGCAGCCTTGGCCTTGTCCAGTGCCAGCTCACAAACCGTGCACCACGGAGGTGTTGTGGCAATATTTGTTCAGCTTTGCTGTTGTGTCAAACAAAACACAGCAAAAAAAAAAAGTTTGCTCAGCGATGCTGTGAGCAGTGTGGGTGCCATGGGGAGGGCTGTGGGTTCCCTGGGGGTGAGCGCCGGTGTTTCCCTACCTGATGGACAAATTGGTGGCTTTTTCTGTAAGGCTGGTGACAGGAGCTGGGGTATCCTAAATGTGACAGGGCTGATGTGGCTCAAGGGGTGCCTGACCATCAGTGAGCTTGGAGCTGTGGGAATTGTGACTGGGGAACAGCAGCCAAAACCAGGCTGACTGGATGCCCTTCAGCAGGTTTTCCTCCACCCTGGCACAATCAGCTCCCCACAGTGACATTTCTGCTCCTGAGCCGCCCACCCCAGCAGAGCTGGGGCGGGGAGGAGAAGGACCAAGCCCACCACGGGTGGCCCTTTTGCTGCAGCAGGTCCCACAGACGGCGATGGGATGGAGACATCCAAGTCTGGCAGTTTCTGCTGGGAGCCAAACACAAGCAGCACAAGGCAGGGCTGGCTCCAAGCGCTGCACAGAGCTGGGGGCTTCTTTCCTGCTGCTTACCTTGGAAGGCTGGGAAGCGCTTCCCTTTGCCCCCCTGCTGATGCTGGCTGCTGTGCAGGGCTGTGTGGCTGTGCAGACGGCAGGTGGCCGAGCCGGGCAGGCAGGCAGCGCCGTGTGGCAGCTATTAACCTGTCGAGCACGCACCTAGCGCACGGATCAAAGCCAGCAGAAGAGCCGCTGGCCAACGATGCTACCCGGCGCAGCCTACCCAAGCCAAACAAAACCGAGGAATTCGTCGAGGTTAGACATCCTCCCCGCTTGCAGCTGAAAGGAAGGTTCTGTATTTTCTCCCTGGAAACTTTGGGGAATGTAACCCTCAGGCTTTCAAGATAAACAGTTGTAGTCACAGCCTAGCAATGCTGGCAGATGGGCCCGTGGTCCGCAGCGTGCGTGCCCGCACGAGCGTGTGCACACACAGGGCCATTTCCCGGCTGTCTTTGCCGTAGAGAAGAGGGAGCCTTGCTCCAAAGCCACTCACTCTGAGCACCCCCTGCCCCGGGAGCTGCTTCCTCTTGGGCCCCTGTGCCCTGACCTTGCTGCACTTCACCGTGCTGCTGTCTGGGCTGTTGGAGGCTGCCCCAGCTGGGGAGAGCACCGAGGTATGGAGACCACGTTAAAAACGATCAGGGAGAGGGGCGAAAAGACCCATTTGTCCAGGCTGAAGAGCTAAACGACCCAATTTTTTTATTTTTTTTTTGCAAGCCTGAATTTTTTAGCCTGTTGGCATGAAGCAGGGCAATGTCTCCTGGCTGCGGTCACCAGCTTTATGATGAGGGCAGGTCATAAAAACCGCCAAACCTCCTCCATGCACATCTGCAGTGGGTGCCTGCAGGTACCCACATCGGCAGTAAGGGCTGCCCTGGTCACACCACCCCTGCCCCCTTTGCCCCGAGCACCCCATAAACACCATCGGAGCAGCACGGGGGAGGTTCCCTGCAGAAGCAGAGAAAGCAGCACCACGGGTCTGGCCACACTTCTAACATCCCTCTGCACCAGCCCTTGGCCATCCCAGTGGGCACCTCCTTACGGGCACCCCAGACCTGCCACTGGTTTGGGGCTCGTTGCTGGTGCCAACGGCCGCCCCCCCCGGGGCTGCCTCCTCCCACAGCGTGGTGTGGCTGGGAACAATCCCCATTGTTCCCCACGGCCATTGTTGTTCCCCAGCCGCCATCCCCGGCCGGGCTGCAGCTGGCACGGTGCACAGAGGGGCTGATTGTTTGGGTTGCTGTGCCGCTGATGACACACCGCGTTGGGACAGCTTCTTCCCACGGCAAAAGGCCTCCTGAGTCAAGTGCTGCATTTGCGCCTTTATTTATTTGTTTGGTTTCTGTTTTTCCTCTTCTTTTTTAATTGCTTCATTGGCTGAGGCAGACTCTCCCGAGGCTGGGGAAGAGGCCAAGGGCACGCTGGAGGCTGCGCAGTGCGGGCTGCCCAGGTCCCTTCCAGGGGGTGCCGGGGATGGACAGAGCCTTGTGGTGACGCTGGTGCTTGCCAGTGGCCGTACCCGGCGATGTGACGGGTGCCTCGGTGGCCTGCAGGCTCACATCTTGTCGGGGGGGAGATGCAAACTGCACCTTGTACCTGCTGGGCCAGAGGCAGGATTCGCTCTCCAGAAGCTGAGCATCACTGATGTGAAGCAGTCTGTGCACTGAATGATGCAAAGGGGAAGGCTTCTGGTTTGTTTGTTTTGTGTTCTTTTTTTTTTTGTTTGTTTGTTTTTGTTTGTTTTTCAAGCACACTTGGCCTTAGCTCATCCCTGTGATAAAGGGGAACAGCCACCAGCTTAGAAGTGAGGCACTTATGCCTCCTAAAAATATCTGGGGGAAGCAATTTGCATACAGGTAAACCGCAGGTAATATCTTAGGAGTGGGGTCAGGTGGCCAGACGTAACCATACTGATGTTTGGACCAGTCCCTCAGTCAGCTTAAGTAAAATGATCGAAAAGTTGTGAATAAATTTTTAATCTGCAAAAAAATACTGAAATTTTGAATGCTCTTTTAGAGCACTGATCATCCTATCTAGAGAAAGTCACCTGGAAAGAGTCTTAGGACCTGTAAGACTGCTTTGACACAGTACTGCCTGTTGTACTCAAAAACCTCAAGCCCCCAGCCTTCGGCTGCGTTTTATCAGTGAACTTAGACCGGTTGGAAATGAATGACTCAGCCTGGCTCACTTCACCTCCCTGGTTTGGGTCTTAGGAACCGAAAGCCTGAGGCTTCGTGATGAACAGCCCAGGAAAAGGTGGTGCAGGAGTTGCTGTGGCTGCTCCGTGTGTGTGTGTGCATGTGCGTGAGCAAGCGAGCAGGTAGGTGTGCACCTGGGTGTCCATTTGGTCTTCAGGTGCCCTCGTTACATGGGAAGATGTTTCTCTTGTACACTTGTGAGCAGTTTTTTTTACATGTCAGTCTCTGTATAGAGGGGTTTTGTAAGCTTCTACATCCTTTTGTCCAAATTGCTCAAAGTTGCTAACAGCTGCATTTTCCCATTACCACAATTACCAATGCCATACTTGTTTGAGAAGCTGTGGCTTTCAGCTGGGAGAGGACTTTGACGTATGAATCCAGAGCAATTTCCCTGGCTTTCATATATAATTAATGCAGTCAGCTCCTTTTGATTTAATGCAGCCAACAGGAACCGCATCTGGTGTCACAAGTGCCTAGCAGCCACTCCAGTGCGCGGGGCCCTCGGAGGGCAGTGTCGGAGCGGCTGGGCGGCACGGCCCGGGGGGGTTTTAAGCCTCCCTGGGCTGGTCACCACACAGCAGGTAGGCTGGCATTATTGCTGCGGGGGCTAAGGTAACAAAACTGCCTTCCTTGCTTGGTCTCGAGCAGCTTTAACATCTGCTGGTGGCCTGCTTGCAGGACACTGGCTTCAGCCCTCACTCGATGCAGGTATCGATTTTTTTCCGCCCCTCCCTCACTATTTAGTGATTGATTTCCAGATAGACACATAAACTGGACATAGAAACTGTTGTTTTGACGGTGCTTTGCGATTGATTGTGCTCGTGTGGTTGTGCACAGGCAAGGCTCAGCGCTGGGCATCGCTCGGCAGCTGCAGCCCGGCCCAGCAGGAGCCGACTGCTGCTCGCTCTGCCCGTAGGTTGCTCCTGTCTTGAGGTCCTCATTAGTGCTTAATAGATAGTTCAACACACAGGCAATTGATTTATATATTGCTATAGACACAAACCATTTAATACACTGTTTATAGGCCTTTTTATCTACAGTATGTTCTATTGACAGGGCTGTCTGATGTGCTTACACCCTATCAATAATGCATTGACCGCTGACAGGGATGGGATAGAAAGCACAAGGTGCTCTTGTTCTCTCTGTCTCTCACCCTGCTCGATACATAGAGAGTGGATTTTGACAGTTAAAAATGCAAAACGCTGTTTTACTGACTCACAGTATGACACCAACACTTAGGCCAGTGTAAAAAAAAATAAATTAATTTATCCCTGTCCTTCAGTCTATTGCCCCCAGATGTCCTATAGGCTGCGTGGTGTGGAATCCATTTACTGTTCCCTGCACAGGCTCTTGATGCATGGCAGTATTACTGCCACACTTTTAAAGGTGGTGGCTGAGGTGATGCTTGCCAGCAGCATAACACCAAGATGTCCAACAGCACAATCGACCGTCGCAGCCCACTGCCAACAGAAGCAGATGCAAAAGGACAGGTGTAACAGCGACCACAGCTGGCATTTAAGGCTCCTGCCCACATGCACCCGGCTCCTTGTCGTCTGCCCGTGCTCTCCGCCTCCCTGTCTTATCTGGGCGTCCCTGAGGAGTTAAATCATTAATGAGTCTGAGAGTTAACTGGGTTAAGGATGGCTCTCTTTAGGATCACGGGGTCAATAGCTGTCAGGGCTAAATGGCACCTATCCCGACTGTGCGTGCATCCCCAAAGTTTGGAGCTGTTGACGCTGAATCAATTCACATTTTAAATGCTGAATCAATACACACTTCTCAGCTACAGCAGCATGAGCCCTTCCCCTCACAGCCTGCTGCTGCAGCTACAGGCTGGGGGCTGCACCACGGCCCCAGCCATGGCACAGAGGGTGGCAGCAAGCTCAGGCTCATGGAAATGGGAAATTGTGACCCTGGTGCCACATGGCCTGGTGTGCCCGAACTGGGCACAAGGTTTTTATCACCACCAGTGTGGCAGTAGTGCTCAGTTCAGGCCTGCTCTTGGGGGGGAAGAGGAGGCATGTTCAGTCCCTTGGTTGCATGTAGTCACTTCTCAGCCTTCCTCCCTGCTTAGGTCATACCCCGGAGTAAATTCCTGCTGGGACTCATTTTCTGGATGACTGTTCTGTAGCTGCTGGAGATGGTGAGCAGAGACCATGAGCAAGTTTTTTTGTTTGTTTGTTTGTTTGTTTGTTTTAATCTTTAAAATTAGAAGCAACCAATCCTCATATCTTCAAGCTTCTCTCACTCCAGAGGTTAAACTGGGCACCGGGCTGCCCCACGTGAAGCAGGAGCTAAAAAGCCTTGGCCAGCACCAGGGGGGTTTGCAGTCCTTTGGAGGGGTGATGGTGTGGAGCAGCGCTGGAGGACCCTGTCCTTCAGGGGACAATGGCAAGGAGCAGCGCTGTAGGATCGCGTCCTTTAGGGGACAGTGGCATGGCGCTGTGCAGCTGATGGGTGCCGGCAGCACCAAGCTGCAGCCTGGCAGAGCCCCAGGTGTCAAACCCTTGCATGAAATATGGTTCAGCATGTATTTACATGTAAGGGCTCTTTTCCAAGTGATGAGAGCACAGCTTAGGTATGCTCATGGGCTTGAATGCTTTCCTAAAGGCTCCCCAGTTGAGAAGACGTGGAATTCCTCAGGACAGATCCTATTTTGATGGCAAAATCAGACCCTCCAGTGGTGAAAGGAGCCCTTGGGCCAACACAACGCTCCAGCCCATGCTGCCTCCCTCCACCCACTGCTGCCACCTACTCTGGCTGCCACACCACCTCCTGCACTGATGTCAAAACACAAACTTCAAAGACTCTGCCCCAAAACAAGGCATGGGGCTCAGTGAGAGCATGTGGACAGGGCGCCCCGAGCAGCCAGATGTGGGGCCGCGCTCACCCCCCAGTACCCGGTGATGCTCAGGGCTGGCTCGACCGAAAGCAAACGAGATGTGGCAAAAGCAAGCGGTCCAGTTCAGAACTCTTTAATACAAGCTTATATTGTTTGTGTTTCTGATTCTCTGTTCTCCCAACATTTGGGGACATTAACCCTCATATGTGTGTGAGCATGTGTATGAAGATATATACAAAATCACACAGTTAAATATTTAAGCATACAAGGTATTATATATTTATATAATATAGAACTTTAGGGTATAGGAATCAACAATGGCAAAATATTTCTGATGAATCTGACATAACTTTTTTTTTGAGTGAAACATGACCTGTTTTTGAAAGACCAGAGGAAGTTGTTGTTTATTAAAAGAAAGAAAAAGACCTGTATAAAGAAATTCTGTGAAAATGATTTAAAAAACCTCATGAACCAAAAAAGGACAACTGTTAAAAACTGTATTGAAAAAAAAATAAATTAGATGAACAATTGTGTAAATATAAATTAAAAAAGATGACAATCTTAATAAATAAGCTTTACTATTTACATCTTTATATATTGCTTGGAGACTTAAATTAGATCCGTTAAAAAAAAAAAAAAACGAACGCAAAATAAAACCCAAAATCGGAGCAGCAAACGTACAGGCGTGAGGTACAGAATTAAGGGTTGAACTGTATTTTGCTTGTTTCTTTTTTTTTTTTTTTTTTTTTCTTTTCTCTTTTATACAGTAGACCAGTAGAATTCTTGTGAAAATAGATCCTCAGCACTTCATTGGAGTATTGGTTGACGTGGCTTCCAAAAGGTGCCAAGAAAGATTCCATAATAATAATAATAATAACCATAATAATCATAATAATTATAACAATAATAAAAAGATACAATATGATACATAAATATGGAAGAGCAGTTGGTAATATGAATACATTTTTCTCTAGACGAGATCACAGTTTTATTTGTAAATATTACATTGATATATATATATAATATTACACATATAATATTATATATATATCATATATATATTTATATATATATTTATATATATAGTACGGCTCAATCCTGCTCCCAGTGAAGTCAACAACAACAACAACAACAACAAAACCCCCCTGTTGACTCGATGGAAGCAAAATTCAGCCTATCATCTGCAGACAGGTACGTAATTACAGAGGCCGTACAATGCAAACTCCGCAATGGTTCCAATTCCCTCTTTAATTGCTGGTGAAATGTTTCGTTAAAGCCCTGGTTCTTTGCACTCAGAAGATGGAAACTGGTGGCTGAATTGTGGCCTCACCGAATGAATGAAAAACCAAAAGACCAAACCAGAATGGGAACCAAAGACAACTCCTGACTCGTTAGCTCTGCATCTCGACCTAACAGGACTAACAACACCAACAAGTAGCACCAAGACTCCTCATCTGTCACGTGAAGCCAACGCAAGCTCTTGTTACTGGCCTCAGAGGAAGCGATTATTCTTCTCATTGAATCTTGGATGTGTAGATCCGGTGAAAAGGGGAAAAAAATCAGTTTGCCAAACTAAGACTTAAGCCCCACTTTGTTCTTCCTAAAGCAACCAGGGGTTTTCAACACTGGTTCCCCGGGTGGCAGGAGCAGCCCAACACCAAACCCTGACTGTCCAAATCACCCGTAGCTCCAAGAAAGTACAGCTTGGGCCACCTGGACCTGCTCCTGCCTTGGTCAAGCTCCCACTGAACTCAGTGGTCAAGGGCCTCCAGTGGAAAGGGGTCTCTCCCTGGCAGGAGATGGCCTGTCCTGGATGACGGGGTGGCATGGAAGAAACATGAAGGACATCAGCTCAAAGACCAAAATGGGGCCCACGATCATGAAGGTATCAAGAGCGTTGTCTAAACTGGGCACAGGGTACTCTCCCCGTGACACGACCATGCCCACCAGCTCTCACTGGGGCATCCAGGGATCGGGCAGGGGAGGGCAGGATGAGGCCGAAAGGCTGGTAAGCTCCACACCATCCAAAAACATTAAAACAACAAACTTCCAGCTCTGAACCCCCCTCGGGCATCCCAGCCTTGGCTGACTTCACCCTGTGCCCTCCTGTCTTCTAGCTTGGCCTCGAATGGAAGCAATGGGCTGGAGCTGGGGAAGGGGACGTCGGTGCCCTGCTTCCAGTGCTGGGGAGCATCCCCTGGCTGCTGACACAGCAGCGTGCTCCTTCCCCTCCCGCTCCCTCCCGCAGCTCTTCGGGATTCAGACTGTGCAGTGCTTCTGAGTGCAGTAATTAGAGCACAGTGAAATACTGGTTAAATGCGTACGTACAGTCGGATAATGTAAAAAATAAGCACAAATACACACTTAAAAAAATAATCTGGAAAAAAAAAATAAACTCCCCCCCTCCCCCCCCAAACAACAATATACCAGGGGAAAAATACCTTAGCCTTAGTTCCTGGACTTATCACAAAGTACAAGGAAAACAAAACCAGACAATGTTATAAAACCTCACGGTACTTCTAGGGAAATCTACACTTAAGTATCTAGCTCTACTCAGCTGGCAGAATCAGTGTTTTCCTTTCAAACACACAAAAATAGGCTTTGCTCTTCTTGGATTTGGATTATGCGGGTTTTCTTTTCTCTTTTTTTTTTTCTTTTTTTTTTTTTTTTCATTTTCTTCCTCTCTGTAAAGCCTCACAATTGGTATTTTTTCCCCACTTGAATCAGTTGCAGCAAGAAACTTTTGTTGGCTATTGGGTTTTGTTTCTCTCTCTCTCTCTCTTTTTTTTTTTTGTCCTTTTTTTTTTTTTTTTTTCTTAAACACAGGTAAAACCTAGAACAAACCGACAGTTACAACCAAGTGAAACCGGAAGGGAGGTAGCTGGAACCCGACTCCAAGAGTCCTCTGGTGCCATCCTCCTTTCTCAGCCTGGGGGGGACAGCGGAAGATGCAAGAAAAGCAGGAGGACACCAGCTCAGCCCATCTGCGAGAGGGTGGGGAGGGAGCGGGGTAGCAGCTGATAGGAGTTTCCCACCCCATCCCGCACCGTTCACCGCTTTCTGCTCCAGCTTGCCCTCCCGCTGGCCACAGAGCCCACCGGTGGCCAAGGAGGCCGGCTGGTGGCCCCGTGGGTGCAGCCTTGGCTCACAGTCTGTGGCAGAGATGCTCTTGGCACTGATGTGACCTGGACTTTGTAAGCAGCTAAATTGCATCAGCACGAGCACCCTCTCGTGTTGCCTCAAGCTTCTTGTTTGATTTCGCCCTGTGCCACCACCCGGGAGGAGGTTGTGCAGCATCCCTCTCACCTCCCACTCCATGTCCATCAGTCACAGAGGGTCTTCCCATGGGACTCCACCAGGCAATCAAGGCCCTTACAGGGGGGAGATGCTGCAAGGACCCCTCTGGCCGTGCCCCAGGGAAGAGGCACAGGAGGTGGGCAGGCACCCGTGCCCCATGGTCCTCCTTCCTCACTCCCCTGGGAGCATGGTGCAGCCCCTAAACACAGAGGCCAAAGCTTTGCCTCAGTGCAATCTGTTCCTGGATTTAATAAGACTCAGAGCAGCACTTCTGTTCATGGAGGAGATGGCCAGTGCTGACATGGCAATTAGAAAAAAAAAATCAATAGCAGCATGTTGAAGGCCTCCCTGTGGGGAAGGGACTCGGCCACGAGCAGTCGCTCCCAGGCTGTAGGAGTGAAGCTGAGGTGTGAAACTGTGCTGGGAGAGGCCACCATCTCCCCTGAGCTGAGGAGGACTCCAGCTCTGTGAGCAGAGGCTGGCTCTGGCCACCCAAAGTTGCTCAAAAGGGTCCTGAGCTCGCAGGAGCCCACAGCAGCAAGTGGCACTAATGCTAACACCGACCTGTCTCCCGGGCAATGTGCTAGGTGGGAAAAGCAGATGGAAAACTTCCTCCATGCTGAGCTGCATAACGGAGAAAGGGACTTTGCAAACTGAGCTGCCAGCAGGATGCATGCAGCACCTGAACCAGGGCTCCCTGCAAGGGTGAAATGCAGGTGGCGTGGAGGGGCTGATCCTGCCAAGTGCCCCAGGCAGTGAGGACCTGATGAGTTGGCAGCCTGAAAGGCTTTTGAGGTTTTGAGCTCTTCTGATGGGCTGGATGGCACCTGAAGCCAACTGCCTACAGAAAAGAAGAGGATGAGCAGACGAGAAGGAAGCAACCTTCTCACTAACACACTTCCATTATTAACCGGGGGGCAAGGGGCACGAGGGGAAGTTTTCCCAGGATCAGTTTTTGCTAATGCTCTCTGCTCTGGTGGACGTTTGACCTAACTCCGTGGAAGGAGCCCTGACACCACTGCGCCTCCCTTCCCCTGCAGCCCTGCCTGGTGGGGACAGTCATCCACACAGCACCCATCGCCAGGCCGCCCTCAGGCATCACCAGGAGCTTTCCAGCAGAGAGCTCCTCGCCTTCTTTTGCCAACCGCCTCTCCAGGCCTCTAAATTTCAGCTTTTGAGATTCATCTCGGGTTTATTCCGACAGAAACAACCCCAAGGGTGGGTGAGAATAGCCTGGCTCTTTGCACCTACAACTCAGTCATTTTTCCATTTCCAGTTTTCCTACTTATTTTTACATCCATCTCCATGAGTTAACTGCTTCCCCTTACACTTATGTCTTGCTGTAGTGCTTAAATATTCAAACAAGCAAGAGTAGGAAAAAATCTTTCCATCCTGTCTTTAACCAGTAGATTGTACACGTCAGGAGAGTCCCAAGGAACAGACAGTATTAACACCTGGGGGGATGCCCTTTCAGAAACGTGCTCCTCCTAGCAGGAACCCGAAGCAGCAGGAGACAAGCTCAGGCCACGCTGGAGACATCTCTGGGATTTATGTGGGGTGGGTTGTAGCAGCAGCGACAGCACTAGATGCACTGGGCACCTCAGTGACTCAACGTGGTGAACCCTACGATGAAACGCATCCCCAGGAGTCTGGCACAACGTGGGCCCCTCGGGGCTGAAACAGGAGGACGGAGCTATGAGAGAAGGAAGGATGAGGGCTGCTGCAGCTAATGCCCTTCCTGCTGGAAGATTACAAGCAGCTAAGCTCCTGGTCTACCAAAGGTGTCTGTCCCACAGGCCTGGAAGCTTAATACTGACAAATATGGCCAAAATTGTAATACTGTCTCCCCGTAGCACGTGCCTCCTCCTCTTCCCCCCTCCTAGGAAACCAGGAGCGTGAAGCAGTTGTTTGACAGACAGACCCCTAAGAGCAGGGTGGAGGAGGTTTGGAGAACCCCTTGAGTGGGTGGAGACCAAAAAGCAGATTCCTTTGGCTGGCTGGTGTCCTGTTTTCTTGCCCCAATGCTGAGGAAGAGACCAGAGGGTTTGAAAGGCAGGTTGTAGGTAAGCTTTAAGGCAGACTGTTTGGTTGCATGGGGTTGTTTTCACCCTGTCCTGACACAGTAAGGAAACTAGTTGTATGGGACATAGCAGCAGGAGTAGCAGCAGCAGACATGCTCAAATGACAAGTGCGGGGGCGAGTTACCCTCTCTGCTCCTCAGAAGCAATCATCCACATTCCTCAATGCCAGTCCTTAGACTCCCCACTCCCTGGCTCCACTGAGGGACCACCTGCCCGCCTCCACACAGAAACGTCCCCACAGCCCTATGGCTTCCAGACAGGCTACAAAGGGGCTTTTTGTTTGCTTTTTGAGGGCAGGGGGAGAAGGAGGAGCTGTACAGAAAGGCCACTGCAGTCTGCTGAGCTCCCTGGCTGGAAGTAGCGTTCCTGTGAGGAGCAGATGCAACCCACGTCTCGAGCTGGCTGGGCGTCTGGCAAGTCACTTGCCAAAGGCACAGTCCTGTGGAGACCCCACCCCAACCTCAGTGCCCCGAGCATGAGATACCTTGGCATTCAGCATCAGAAAAGGCTCAGCCTGGAGTCCTCCAAGAGCACAGCCTCTTCCATGAACGGTCTGAGTTGTGAGTGCTGGAGAGGGGAAATTGTTTTTGCGTTGATCATAATCTCTCACTCTTTCTCTCTCTTTCTCTACTTATTTCTATAAATATGTGTACATAAATAGCTTGTTTCTCGCCTTAAATCTAGATATGAACTGTTCAAATTAGGTGGGCATAACATGCTGTTTTGATACATGAAAGTCTTCTCAACTTGACTCTTGGTTGTTTGTTTCTTGTCATCACTATTTAAGATATCGTTAATACATAAACCCCTACTTTGAGTTCTCCTTGGACAAAAATTAAAGGCAGACTGGTTGAATTCTAAGGGTCCCTGGTGCAGAAATGCCATCCAGTTGAGCAGCTAAATGTTAAAAACGATACCAAAAGGGATGTGGTGTCTCTCCTAGCCTGCCTTGAGCAGTGTGGTCCTCCATTCCATGTCGCTTGGCGTTACCCAAGACTGAAGCCACGGAGGTCTTTCTGGTTGTGCTCCTGGGCGTTGGGGTCCCGGCAAGCACACTCTCCTTGTAGGTCACAGGACATTGGGAAGGGAGTAACCTGAGGAAGGAAACCAAGGACACGTGAAGGAGGGAACACACAGCACCCTGGAGAACAAATGATACCTCTGGGGAGATCTTCAGAGATCAGCTGGAGCCTTCAGCTACGCTTATTTTGCATAGTGATTTATTTTAGTGCCGAGGCTTCAGACGAGCTACCTGTCCGTAAGAGAGGGTGCAAAAAGCATAGAGAAGAGCCTGCTGAGCTCATGCAGTCACTGGTCAGTAGATCCTCCCCTAACAGCTCAAGTCAGGCACATGAACAGAGCTGTCTGGGAGACGTGTACTTCTCAGGCAGCCCTGGGGCTTTTGGGGTAGTTACCACAGTGCTAATTGCATTATGCTGCCAGCCTCTTCTAAAGAGCTTTCCTTCCCCCCAACCCTACAAACATTAAATGACAGCAAAGTCACGAAAGCCTCATCACACATGACCAATTCAAATTATCACCAAACTCTAGGTCCAGTTGGTCCCAACTCCAGCCTCCCCTTGGCAATTCCCACCTCTGTCCCGGGGGGTTGGTGAACCCTACTCCTGGGCCATCGTCTCCCCTCCGTGAGGCCCCACTGAGCAGTATGGCCCTATGGCTTGGGTCCTGTTGCCATGACCGAGTCCATTTGTTCATTTAATTATGAATGTTCTTCGTTTCAGTTCCTCAGGGCATGAACTGAAGCAGGTCAGTGAAACGGCAGTCCAGCAAACAGACCTCCCTAAATACCTGTTGTGTTTAAGGTCAACAGATGCAGCTAACGGGCACTGAGGAACAGCAAAGGAATGCAAGTGAGAGACTGCTACGTGCAGATAAAATCTGGCCACGATCTCTCTGCAGAAGCGTGGGAAGGAGCTGAAACAATAGCCTGCAGTGCCTGGCTAGCGGAAGTTGATTTTGGCATATTGCATCACGGCATTTACATAAAGAAAAGGGGGTGGCAGTGGAACAGCATCTTGCTTGCCCTGAAGTGAATTCCCAAGAACTTCTCCCATCTGCGCAGGCTGAGCGAATGAATGACCTCATTCCCCTTCGTACACTCCTCCCAAGTCGGTGCCACAACCTGCTCAAATGTTCCCGGCGAGCGCCGCACGCGCGCTCAGCCTGCTCCCCTCGGCCCTGCTGCCACACGTTTGCTCTTTCATCAACACTTTTTTCTCCAGGCCATGAAGCCTGGGTATGCCTGCTTCCCGCGTGTCATCAGCGGCGCATCCAGGAACGCAGACCAAGCGCTGTGCATGAGCACAGAGCTGTCATTTCCCCCCAGACCTCGGCTGCGTGTCCCTGCATGTCCATCCGCAGCGTGCCTTTCTCCTGACACACACCCGAGCGGGATGGCGGGGCGTGGGGCTTTATTTCACAACTGGGGAGCCTAAGGCAGGGACATGCTGACAGAGACATTAAATAGCCAACACTCATCACCAAATCAGGGTTTAGGGAGGCTCCTCCCGTTGCTTTTGCCTTCGTTCCCAGAAGACCTGACCCTCCAGGTAGAACGGGGTGATGACTCTTCATCAAGACGTGGCCTTGGTAACAGGAGCTAAAGAAACAACCTGTGAATAATCAGAATCTACCTTCCTGCAGATGTGGAGGTTGCAAAGAGGAGAGAGAGCCCAAAAGCTTAAAAACAAATGAATTCAAGTAACTGGATACTGAAGAAGTTTTAGAAATTGCAGAAAACAATAGGAGTTTAAGGGTCACTTGATCCAACAGACGCCAGCCAAAGTAGGACTGTCCCATATCACAGCGTTATGAATATTCTTAGATAGGAAAATGGAGAAGTCTGTAAACAATGGGGTTTGGGAAGGAGGCTGAGGAGGGATTGTTTAATGACTGAATTAAAATACTGGAGAGAAAAAAAAATGATACATGAAAGAAAATGACTTTTTTTATTATTATTTTGTTCAGCTTAGAGGGAAACATTTTGGTTTAGATTATCTGCTACAGTTCAGGTTTGACCTTTCTCTCCAATACATAAAAATAAAAAAGGCTATTCAGAGCAAAAGTTATGTCTTGAAATAAAAAATTACTTCACTCAGAAAATGCCCAAACAAAACATGTAAATATGTCTTGAGTTTTCCCTTACTTTTATTTTTTATCCTGAATCATTCAGTTCAGCCTGGATTTGGCAATGCTTCTGACTTAAAAAATCCTTCCTGTTGTACAACGAAGCTACTGGTTGGAGGCAAGACCTGGGATCCTGGTTCTTTCATTTGTCTTGATCAAGCTTTTTCCTCTCCCTGGCCTAGATTCACTGCATTTGTCTCTAGCAGCCTAACAAAGGCAATTTAGCAGCTCCTGCGTTCAAAGAAAGACAGGCGCACAGAGAAGGTGGATACGTATTTTGCATTGAACACAGGACAACAACACACCAGACTCAGGCATTTCAGTAAAGCAGCTAAAATTAGCCATGATTATCTTACTGCTCCTTGTCTCTGCTGCTCTCCATGCACGAGCAGGACAGTGCTATCTCTTGCTGGCACGGCGATCCCAGAAATGCTAACATTTTACTTGCAGGAACATCAGAGCCAAGAGCAAAAACCCTGCACGACTGTGTTTCCAGGCTGCCGGCTCTCATTCCCCTGACTTACTCTGTGGGCTGTGCTGAAAACGTGACCTTAAAATCCCAAACTGCCATAAGTCTGATGTTGCCTTGGAGCACTCTACTTTCTTCATTCCGTCTCCTCCCTACCCAAACAAAAGGTACATGTAGGAGAATAGATTGCTTCTACCTTGCAGCAAATTTCTGGGAAGAAGGAGCCACTAGAGAAGTGTCTTTCCATGTGGTGCCCTCTAAAACCCTCTGGCTTTCTGACTGCTCATGGACAGAAGCACAGAAGCTGTCTCTCTAGGGCAATACCACGGCCCCAAAAACAGGGCTGCAACAGCAGTTGCAGCAGTGGGTAGCCTGATTGTAAGAGGGTTTCGTCCTGATCAGATTAGCCTTATTCACTTTATGTCCTTTACAGAATTTTGTACGAAATTTAATTTTTACAGTACTATTGTCCAGATAGATGAATTGTTTTGTCTTATGGCAGCAAGCTCTGGAGATCAGTTTTCTATTAATTGAAAAGTCAAAGATTTCTGTGGGCGATGAGCACATCCACAGTCACATTAGACAAGACAAAATTTGCCAAACACTTAGCAGTGACAGAGGGTTTCCACTTTAAATATCATCTACAACAAATACACATTTGAGTTCCCCAAGGATCTGATTTCCAGAGGTATTTAGGGACTCAAACCCACACATAGCATCTATTGGGATTGTCAGAAGTACCCAGTGCAGAGAAACCTTCAATCCCTTTTGAACAAGAACTGTCTTTTGTCTTGGGCTTGTTCAGCGATAGCCCTGTGGAGTACAGAGCCATGAACAAAGCTGCTGGATGTGCTAGAAATAATAAATACTGAGCCTTTTTCTGAATGATAGCCCATTTAGGTGTGGAGCCCACATATACGTACTCCGAGACTAACTGCTGCTTTTCTTTTTAAATAGATCAGTGAAAGCCCAACTCATTAACAAAATGTATGACCTGCACTGAAATTTCCAGATATATCCATTGTAAAACACTATTAAAGAATCATCTCCTCTTCCTTTCACCTGCCAAGTCCTGCATTTCCCCTACACCTCCCCTTGTAGAAAACCTGGCTAGCACGTAGGAGGGCATGGAGGAAAAGCTGAAAATCAAGCTTAGGGCCTGGCTCGGTTATTTGATGAAGTACTGTAGGATATTGTCTCCACAGGCTACCTAAAATAATCTGAGAAAGACACAAGCGAAGAACAGAGCTCTGCATGCCTACACACTCTCCCTACACACGCACACATCTCCTGGAGGTGATCCAGAAACAAAGCCATGGCTTGGATCAACAGCACTCAGGAGAATGTGGGGCACACCTGAAGCAAAGAGGACCACAGACCTATTTTTAAGACACAACAGGCAGAGCCTAAATCATGCCTGTCACCCTGGGAGCGTGCATGGTGCGGTACATCCTGCTCTGAACCTAAAGCAGCACCTGCAGCAGGCGCAGGCTCATGGGCTCAGCAGGAGGCTGGCAGGGATGATCCAGACCATCCCAGTCCTCTTATTTTTTGGCAGTGAATTGCTCCAGGAGCTCTGGCCACATTGCTGCAGGTGATGGGTCACCATGCCTGTGCCTAATTCACATGCCTGGGGTGTAACACTACCCGACTCCCAACTCGTCACCCATGTGGAGCAGAGTTTGACCCCATACCTCTGTCCTCCACCAGAGTATGGGAGCCCTGAGTGTCCTCAACCATGTCAGGTGACAGGACGATGGCCAGAAGTCAAGTTACTTTTGGAAATGGCAGCATTTGCCCTTGATGCCATGCTCTGTGGGAACAAAGGCAACGATGGAACATACCAGTGCTGAACTGGGATCCAGGTCATGAAAGGAGTCAAGGGCCACAAATCCTGGCTAAGCAGCACCTATCTAAAGAGGCTGGTGATATCCCAAGACAGATCCCTGCTGAGAAAGGCCAGTCTGTAGGAAACCTGTGGGAACACTGACAGGAGAAATCGCAGACAGGTACAGGGAGGGATGGGAAACACTTCTGCAGAGGTTCGGAGCTCATCCCTCACACATGCTCATATCACTTTGACCCGGCTGTACCTCCCGTCCAGGGTGGGCAGAATCAGGCCAGGGCTGGAGGCAGGGGGCTACCAGGGGAGGAGGGATGCGAAGTGTTGGGAAACAGCCTGTTGTTAGATTTCAGCTCTGAAGTGTTTGCGAAATCTCCCAGACAAGACGAACTGGAAATATGAAGACCCCGCAGCAGACACAGCCTCTGCGGCGAACGCGGCGTGTCAAGATAAGCGTGGCAGGCTGTGCTGAGTGTCGCGGCCCCGCACCTCCCGAGACCCTCGCAGCTCAAACGCCGGGGAGTATTTTGTTCCCTGACAAGGCCCTTGTGGGACAAAAATGCATCTTGTAAGGTTCTTCCCAGGGGTTTTTGGCATTTAGGTCACAAGGGCTGTTTGGAGATAATGGAACAAGA